AACTTGATCCTATCAGGTAAATACAGTGAGACTCACAACACTCCCGTTCATCAAAGCTTTCTTGCTAAAGCCAAACTAATGTAGATCAAGAAACAAGGGGAGGGAAGAAACCCAAAATATTTAGTACAGTAAGAACAGATGAACAGGAGATTTACTGTGCTTACCAGAAACCTCGTGCTGCATATACAATTACTTGGGAACCAGTTATTTGCTGAAGGTATGCATTAGAGCAGCTGCATTTAGATAACCGTGTATGATACTCTACCCTCACTGCTTTCACTATTTCAGTAGGTATATGGTTTAAGACCACTGCACTTTACATTTTGCTTAGTGCCACCACAGCCAACAAGGTAATATTTACATTCTATCAGTTACACAAAGAGCAGACCTTGTGGATCACTATCAGATTAAAGAAAAGGTGTATGTGCATGCACATGAAGGAGCTTCCAGGTTTGGTTCATTCCTAAAGAGGTTGCAAGTAACAGGCGCTTATCTGGGGGGCACAGTACTGGTACTTTGCTCACATTTTAATGGTATGAATGGCTCTTAGCTGTAAAGGGTGTATTACCAGGGTAGTCAGTTTCTCAGTAGTAGCACACATGAAAAAAGGAAAAATTATGGAACTCTTTTGCAATACATCTTTTTGCTTTTTGTAAGGCACTTTTTGTTATCACCAGAGCATAATCTAATACGGACAGGGTCCTACAGATGGTTTGGAGAAATAGAGCATCCTGAACTGGCATTCTGAGTGAGTGTTGAGTATAGCAACAGCTTTACAGAATAACCCTTAACAATGTAAAATGAAATACGTGAGAGTCAGTAAAATAAAATAATTAAAGTTAATCAAATGTCTAAAATCTCAGTATGAACATTTTTTAAAATTAGATTATATGAGCAGCTGACATTACTAACAGTTTTGAAAACGAAAGTTACCTGTGTTTTACCAATGATTAGCACGCTTCTGATGAACAAAGACATATTGGGGAGGAAAGAAGTGCAAACACAGAAAACTCTGAAGGAAATTTGACCTCACTTCCTTTCCTAATTCTCTGCAACGCACCTGCCCTCCTCTACTTCTTAGGGGAGCTTTCTCCAGTTCAGTTTTGGAAGAAAACATGGCTTAGGGTCTGACATCAACACCCTGTATTGCTTCTGCTTACATTCCCAAATGTTCCTCCTCTAAATCACTGAGAACTCACTCTCAAACAAGCAGGGGGGAGGCAAGAGGAGAAAAAAAAAAAAAAAAAAAAGGTATCGCTAATGCTTCCAATTCTGCTTTCCCAAGAAAGCCATGTGAAGATCAGTCTCTTGCTTAAGAATGCTGTCCTGCCAAAAAATCCCAAAGCAGATTACAGGGGAGAACAGTAAGGGTATCAAAAGAAAATAGAGTCTGTCACCACAGAGTTCTTCAGCTGCCAGCAACAGGATCTCCGACATCCTACTGCCAGTAACTCATTTATACATTTTCCAGCGTTGTCCGAGTCTTCTGTTTGAAGAACCAATTCAGTCTTTCCCATCTTCCCTCCTGAGCACTCCAAAAGGAAACTTGCCCATCACAAGGCATAGCAAGAAGAATGCAATTCTTCTTCATAGCACGAGTTTAAGCTTCCCCTCCTCCTTCCCCGGCTCTAACCTAGGGAAAGGTCCTCAGTTAACTACTATTTCACTCTTTGGAGGGCATGAGAACTCAGAAGTCCCATGCTACTCTTGGAGGGAACCCTTTCATTGTATAAGGCTCAGTGGCCTAAAATTTGCCTGTAACCACAATCTTTGACTAATGCTCAAATTCAGAATATTAAATTTTGAGCAGGATTCCCAACTATAAAATTTGTTTGTTAATACATATGCAGAGAGGCGAATGCACAGAAATATACTCTATACATTGTAAAATGTACAGAGAGTTCAACTTCTCTTTGGGCAACTTATTACAGCATTTAACATTAAGTTAAAAGACATAATTTTATTTAATTTTACTTTCACTATTTGTGTACTTGGTGTCATATTAACAAGACACGAAAGGCAGTAGCAGTCAAACAAGAAACAGAAGTATACCCTAGATGTTTTTTCCAGTTAGAAGTTTAATAGGAAATTCAGAAATTCATTGACTAGTGCCTCTTCTAAGTTACTGCTCCTGACAGCTGCAGTTGCATTGCTATATAAGTAGTATTTTGAAAGCTTCACTAAAAATATAAAACATTGTAGCGTGAGACCAACTGTAACTCTATTACCTGCCAATGATAAACTGTATCAGCTTATAGGGTAGAGCATACATAGTGGGGCTACTGAATCATAAATGGAACATAGACCAGGCTCCTGTAATAACCCCAAGTGAAGAGGAGCTACTACTTATTAGAAAACTAGGTAAGCTTTAAGACTCAGAAAACACTCCAACATTTCACATTCTCAGAATATAAGAGGACAAATACTCTCTTCCAAAGGTGTTGCCAAATATTTTAAGTAGTAGATGTTCTCAGTCTGTCCATGACGCCTTTCCAAATAAGCTACAAAGAAAAGGTACAGTAGTGGTGTTTTGCAACCTAATAAACCTCCACAGATCAGAGTGCAAGAATTGGGAAATCCTTTTACAGTTGTTTGAGGGAAAGAAAAATAAAAAAAAAGAAAGAAAGAAAAAAACCACAGAGAACTTCCCCATTCATTTCCCTCACTATCAGTTGGTGGTTTCCTCTAGTCACATCTATTCCTCAGGGACACCGCGCATGAGCCTGCCAGGGAAGTACTGAGCCATATGACAAATGTCTTTCACACATATGCAGAAGAAGCATGTGCAATGGAGTGTCTTGGTCTAGAATTTGCTTTATAGGCAAAGTACACACATCTGCAAGTAGAGGCAAACATATAGAATGATTGGTTAAAGGAAAGCCAAAGAACCACACCTTGCCTTAGAGAAGAATGTGATGAGCCACTGTCCTGTCAGCATTTCCTCCACTACCTTGGATTCATCTTAAAGATCTGTCCTACCCACTATTAAGCAATATACACCAACATGGCAGAAACACCTGAATCTATGAAGCACAAGGGGCCACATGACACTACGATACATCTCTTATTCCAGTCTTGCAATTGGCTGTACATGACCCTCTACAGCCTGTGCTGTGTGCTGCTCGCCCTTCCACTCAGCTCCAGTGTTGCAGAGGCAGGGATCATGCCAGCTTGTACTTCCCCCGTCCTCTCTCCAGCCCCTTTTCATCTCCCAGCAGCCCAGTATGATGCTAGCACATGAGACCGGACGGGAAAAAGGTTGTGCTGGGACTGGTACATGTCCCTGTAACGCTTTGTGCTGCAGTCTCCATCCTAGCAACCCAACCTTCAGTGAGACTAGGGAGAAGAAAATTAGAGTGAGACCCAAAGCCCTCTGAAATTTTAGTGATCTCCTACTGTCAAACTTCTTAGACAAAAGAACTTCTTTTGATATTGACATTCTATCTTTTCTTCCTTTTGCAGAATTTTAATTGCCTAGCTAGAAAAGAAATATGCTTATCCAGAAGTCTGGAAATTTAAAGATTTTTTTCTAACTTCATTGCTATTACTAAACAGGACCAGCTTAGTAAGCTGTTTTCACAGCTACGTATCATTGTACTCTGTTTTAGGAACCAATGATGTAACACTAATAAGCTCACTTATCCACAAAATATGCCAACTGCCGTGCTCAAAGAGGCTCTTGCCAGATGGCACATCCTTTGGATGCAGAGCGCTCTCCCAAACCTTACTGACTATGACCATGGTTATGTTGCTAGTCTTAAGTATTCACAGCTGTCAGTAACAAGAAAAACAAAGTTACCAGAACTTTAAAACCATTCTGGTACACCCTACCAGATTATCCAAATGCCATGAGAACAGACACCATACTTTGTAAAAGTTTTTCAGCTATTTTAAAGAAAAAGGATCCCTCCCACTCCCAGTCTGCTGAGACAACTTTTCCAAAACTCTTAACAAATCTACTAAAAGCAATGATTCATTGGCTTGATCCAAGTATGTAAGTAGGCACCTTACAACACAGGGCCATGTCTGAAATGATGATGAAGAATGACATAGATAACGCGATACATTTTTTTTAAAAACAACAACTCTGACCCGTATTCTTCTTGAAGTTTTATGTCTACAGTTCTTTTTAAACACATTAGAAACCAGTTTAAGTGACCCATACACAAAGAAACAGCAACTTACTCACTTCCCATTTTGTAGTTGGCACATATAGATCTAACTGACGCATATTAAATTTGCATTGATCAACTGTACCATGAAGAAAGAAAAATGCTTTCATTAACTCATGTCCACTTTTTCAAACTTGTACTTGCCCATTTAAATGGCATTTTAAAACAGTACATACTGCTTCGTTTTGCTCACTGGAGTTTGTACTTTAAACAATGGAGAAAACCAACCTAGCACATAAGCAACATTGTTTTAACGCACAGATGTGACTGGAATATACTAGGTTCTTCACTTCAGTCTCTCATATAGTCTCTCACACTATAAATAGTCATTCAAATGTCAACACATTTCAAATGTGTTTTTTCAAACCCTAGAAATCACATATATTCACTAACCCTGAAACTACAGAAAGTTTACAATAATTTAATCAGAGCTTATCCAGGTAGAAGTGCACATTTCAAAGGATAATGAGTACTTGTTCTGTTCATTAAGTACCTGTCCTCACATTTCTAACTAATTCATTCATTAGCAGCTATATCACTACTTGCCTTTGGACCCCAAAGCTCTAGCTACCTTTCACTCCAATCATTCCTTCATTTTTCGGCCAGCTTTATGCTCCAAAATGTTTAAAACAGATTGATTAAACACATTAGTGTCTTAAGACCAAATCCTATTAAACTTATTCACACAAGTCCCCTTTAGCGCTGCAAGTCACTTATGCTACGGAAGGCGCAGAATCTGGCCCAATACAAATCTGGGAAAGTGAGAATCACTACCTCAGCCTGTTTAAAGAAGAATAAATATATATATATACACACACACACACACACCACAGAGAGCTTATCTCCACAAAATACACAAATCAGTCATGGAGTTTCTGTGTGTGCAAAGCCGGAAGGTGGCTTAGGTCTTGCATGTGATGTCAACCTAAAAAAAAAACGCTGTAGTCTGACATGTAAAGACAAATGCAACGACTGTGCAAGACGGCTCAGGAACTTTTCCCAGCTCCGGCCACTGGGCTCGGAGGGGGTTACTTTGCCGCAGGCGTCCTCACGGGAAGGGCGCACACGCAGCCCCGTCCTCGCCTCGGGGACGGGAGCCCGCGCCCCGCAGTTTAAGGGCAGCAGCACCGAAGCACGGGCGACAAGCCGGCTCCCGAGAGGCACCCGCCCTCAAGGCAGCTCCCTCGC